GCAATTGTTGGAATGTTGTAGAGAACTTATGCGTAAATATTGAAATCTTATAAAGAACCTCTAGCCTGGTAGTTAAGCTAATGTGTTTAAATTGTTAAGCTACTCCCGCTATATAAGAAGCAGGATCAGTCAGGCAAAAGCTCAAGCAGTCAGTCACTCAATCCACAACTCCTGCAGTTTCGCAATTCGACAGGTCGGTGAGTTACTCAATCAGACAGCCCGCGCAATCACTCAAAGAGACAGTATAGTCAGACACTCAACCACGACAAAGAACGACAATACGACAGTTCAACAGCAGGAGTGACAAGACCATTTGATATCCTTTAATACTTATTGTGTATTGTTCATTTCGTCCCTATTATTGTTTCAATACGATATTGTACCATATCATATAAGACTAATAAAGGTTACTATCAACTTTGCGGAGTATAAATTACAAAATCTTCCCTCGACAAGATTTGCTAAAGCAATGTTTCATCGATGTTCTACATTAAGATCTTAAGTGATGATGACTAATTGTTGCATTTGACTTCTTCATCTTGTTGACCACACTTCCCGACTCTTTATGATTCACGGAAAGAAGTATTTTTGATCTCAGATAATATATGGGTACAATCCTTCAAATCCTATCCACACTCTTAATCTGTGTGTATGAAACTATGAAAATAAAAATTACGAATGAATAGAATAGCTTCAATTACAGGATCAGTAAAGACTCATTGCTTGACTTCTCTCAAATATTGCTTGAGCGATATTGCTTTAAGTGGTATTTTTGTTAATGTTTTATAGGTTAGTTGCATATATATTTTATGAATCACTTGCAGGGGGTTCATTCCTTTTTCATTTTATGATGATGGTAGTTTCAATTTGACTTCAGAATTGAGATTGCGAAGTCCTTCTTCAAGATGCATCAAAATATCGCGTAAATATTAATGAGTAATTGAAATCCATCTTATATTTCATCTAAGTCTTACCGTATCCTGAAACTAATGAAACTGGAACTGATTCATTTTCTGGCACGAAAGTATTTGAAGTGTTAAATTTTTTGTATTTCCATAAAATATTCCAGGACAATTAGTTCAATAAATATGTTATAACAATGAATTCTTCAATCCGCATATTTTAGGTTGTTTAAGAAATAATTTTTTTATAATACGACACATTTTAACTCGCTAGGTTTAAAGCCGAATCAACAAATTATTTGGAACACATGGAGTAATGTCCCTCTTTAGATTTCTTCCTATTTTCTCATTATGATTAGGATTGCGAACAACACTGTTCATATTCATGCAACATATCTCGTCCTATCTCGTCCTACTCTCCTAAAAGATAAATTTTGGGAAGATTTTCATTTGGAAATTTCGGGAAGTTCAGCAATTTGATCCGATAGATTTAACAAATGGCATATTCATCAGCACTTATTGGTTTAAGTATCTAAGCAAGGTAAGTTTATTTCACCATTATATTTCATCATTCTTCTGAATGATTAGATGCAATTAGGATTACTTTCTTCTTTTTTTTTCAAAGGTATACTTTGATTTCCATCTCTTTATGCTTAAAGAGGAAATCATTTTTTCCATCAAGATGGAAAAAGCTAACATGAATTCTGTAGGTGGAGAAATGGATTTGAAACTGGAGGACCGGATGAAGAAATGATTCTTATTCACCCGTTCAGATCTCTCGCATCAAACTTTCATTATGACTGAAAATATCTCCTATACAACACACATGAGTATCAGTGTGATCTTATACTGTGATGATTGACGATTGAACCATCATATCGATGAAAAAAGGGAGATGATTAAGTCTATAAATGTTAAAGGTATGAAGAACATCAACGTTTATTTGCATTGGTCCAATCACGGAGGACCGTTTAACAGATATAAAGTTAGCAAAGAAATGATATCATAGTGAATTTATGTTCTTTTCATTTCAATTTCACTTTCAGAACACCAATATCTATCTTCATTTTTGCCATTTTGTACATAATATGTTTTAACTGATGTCAGTATTTAGATTATATCTTTTATTAGAAGTGTTTGCAATAAAAATGAATCTGCTAATCTCGCAGAACTTCACGAAGGCTCTTCTACTTATTTAAAATAATGACAGGATAAAATTGAATCTGAAGTAGGTCCGTGAAATCCATAGCATTGTTCTGTAAGTGTTCGGATGAAGGAACGAAATAAATACATAAAAGTATTGAAATAAATTCTTAAAATAAATATAAAAATAACCTGATCAAATGCTGTCGCTTCTGTGGACATGGAAATTGAAAAATGTTGAAGTCCCAACGATAAGTCTCATTCCACTAACTATTTCCTGTCATCGAAAACCTCATTTTCGATGGTTATAAGTGTTGGGACAATAATGAAAATTAAAGAGACTAGAGCTAACAGCTGAAAGAAATTTGAAGTTACAATTCATAGCGGGGTCAAAATACGTCTGATTGATTACAGGTGACTCTTGTCATATCGCGGTGTTTTTTCTCATTAAATCGCTGATCAGTCATTGGCATGATTTGTTGCCTTTTTTTAGCTCGAGACATAAACAGTAATTCGATTTCTTCAATATTGTAGCCCTTTGTTTCGGGTATGACAAAGTAGAAAAAGCTAAGCGCAACGCACGTTATACAACCATAAATGAAAAAATGCACCTAAAATGCTATTCATTAAAGTGGTATAATTTTATATCTGTTAAATTTTCACATATTTCAACTTGGCTAAACTTAACAAAAATGTAATTTTGAACCAAATCCGTGGTCTGGCTACTAGTAATACAGTACTTTTATATTGCTTCCACAGGATAGGTTTCATTTTCCAAAATCTACCAAATAATATTTGAAAAATCAAAACTTCGTATCTGTTTTAAAGGTTTTCGATTGGAATAACGAGAAAAATAACTAACCATATTTAGTAGCAGCTTGCGTGAGGGATAAAAATGTCAAAGAAATAATCAAGTTAAATATCCAGTTGAAGGATGTTGACAATGCACAACATGTACTTCGTGCCCAAAGTGGATAAAATTCTGCATTCAACACCCAGGGCATTGGTGCGTAACCTGAAATGAATAATGGCAAAAGAATTCAAGTGAAAATTCATTATTGAAGAATTAATTGTCTCTTGAGAAGTAAAAGAAATGAGGCTATGCGCGTTAATCTATATGGAGCGTGCACTGCATGTCGGATATGTTCCTAGACTTGGAGTAAACACTAACGATCTGGTGATTTAACAAATTTCAAATATAAATTCCATCAAAAGCAGTAAATTATTTCATTTCTAAATAATTTTAGGTCTTTAAATGGAACTCATAGGAATCGTTTTCCGTTGATTATGCCAGTTGACTACAATGTACTAGTTAAATGCATTCACGATCCATCCGAAAAATTCAAATAGATCTGTGTTGTACAGAAGTTTACTCCGAGTATTATCTCTCTCTCTCTCTCTCTCTCTCTCTCTTGGTAAGAAAACAAGATTCAAAAATTTAGGAATTTAAAGAAAACCATGCCAATAGAAAAGAATGCCAGGTAGAACACCATAATAGCAATGGGTAAAAATGCGTATTTTGATGGACAGAATGAATGTGCCCATTTGGTTGTTGCTGTGCTACTGTTTTCGCATGGCCCAATCAGTGATCGGTCGGGAAATACGCGTGAATATGGTAAACAATAACTGAAAATTATTTATACTAATTATATGACAGTTGAAGAAATTCTTATATTCACTATAGAATTTCAGGAACAAAAGTTGAGATCACGCTTGCATATTGCTGCCGGAATTTTTAGACAGCCATAAAATGGTATATTATTTGGGGTAAAGAATATAGTGAGATTTATGCTTAAGTTTTAACTGGATCAAAAAAATGAAAATTATAAAAAAGGAACCCTTCAGGTGAATCGAGGCTCGGTTGGCAAAAGCCGCATTTTTCATCAGTAACACAATGGTCGCAGTTGCTGCAAATTACTATTGTTTAGAAGAAATTAGCTGTCACTGCAACAAGTTAAATGAATCACAATGAATATCTGGACAGTTTGATACTTGGCATAGATAGATGGATTCTATGATTTACTTTTATGCCATAATAGAAGTCAAAATCAATTTTCAAACAGCCAATTTTTTTTAATTTTATCATTAAAGCTAGGTTTTGGAAGAAACCTTAAGACTCGACACTGCATATAGTGATCTACAGAAGTATCGAGAGAGATGGTGTTTGGATCTAGCGAAGCAGCTGAATCAAGATTTATTAATAAAAAAGAGGATCCCATAGCAAATAATGCTAATATCACACCAGTCATTGATATAAATAGCAATAGCCGACGCCCAATACGCTCTATTAAATACATGGGCACAAATGTGGCCAAGAAGTTGACACCTGGAATAGTTAGCTTTTAGCAAATATTAGTCTTGGAACTTGATTTCAAAATTTCATGGACAATTGAATACTAATTATCGAAAAGATGCCCGCTGCGAAGCATTTTTATATTTGAACAACGTGATCCTGTTTTAAAGAACATCTGACGAATTAGCAACCATTTCAGCAAAATGCCATATACATTTCAATGCACTTTATTTCTGCTCTGATATGGAATCTTGATTATCAAAAATTTTTTAATTTCTTATGAGCTTACTTGATATGGGTTACTATAGCTACTTACTTGAAATGCCAGCTGAAATCCAGATAGCCGTATGTGGATCTTGAACACCAGCTGATTGAATTATCGTACCCGTATAATACCTAAGTGATGTTTGTTCATATTCGCAAATATAAGGACTACAAAACCTAAATTTCTGCTCTGACTTATACCGAAGCGATCATTTTAGTATTCTATCATCTCAATATAAGTGTAAATTCTGTTGTTTCGAAATATCTGATTTTGAATCATAAAAAACCCTGCATTCAATATGCGAAACTAACATAATGGTGTTAATTCCAGAAAGTTGCTGACAAGCTTGCAACGAGCATCCAATAACAAGTGCTTTCAGAACATGCGGTGTTGTTAAGATTCGTCCAAGCAACATCGACTCTGCACAGTCCTTATATTCAGTTTCATTTCTTAGCACACTCAGTGAGTGACATCAATATGCTGGCGTACTCACAATTTCAGCTCGTACAAATATAATTTTTTTTATAAATACAGGTCTGATTTTCTTCACCCTTCCCCCTCACCCTCTCCTTCCCACCATCTATTTCCATCGGAGTTAGTAGGACTAGTAATATATCATTGAACCTGGTTGATAGTAGATAGATAATGATGTGCATATGATCGCACCAGTAAAACAGCTGTGTGAAATGATAACACATCTACATAATGAATAAATTATTGTCCACTGAACAGAACAAAAAGATATTTTCAAGTAAAAAGTTAAATAAATTAAATTTTTAAAGAAACAATCACCACCGACAGCCTCTTTAGCTTTCTTTTCACTTTCCAATGATTCCGCGTTTTCAGAAATTTCATACGCTATCCAATCCTCGTATCCATTGTAGATTTTCCTCAAAACCTGCAGTGGTTCTTTTTCAGTATAGCTCACTGATTAAACGTATTGATACGATTAAGACTTAGACATCGAGAGAAGAGAATGAGCTGTTTTGACGTTGAGGGAAAGTTTGCCTAACGCTATCAAAGTTAAGAAAAATCTGAATATTGACTTAATCTTTACTTTCATTCACCATGATTTAAAAGAAAAGCAGTTTGGAAACAACACATTTATATCATTAAATATTCGAATAAACTAACCTTGCAGGCTTCTTCCTTTTGTTCCATTTTATATAACCATCGTGGGCTCTCGGGCAGGAACAAAAAACCGACGAATTGTATTACACCTGGTAGAGCAGCAAATGCGAATATTAAACGCCAGCCAATATTCACAGGATCAATATATGAGAATCCACCTTAATTATAAAATTTGAAGCAGTGTTCTTTGTTAAACTTCGAAAAATACTGCTATTTTAAACAGAACTTCCAATAAATATATGCCGGTTGTTTCATTTTCTAATGATAAATTAGAGTGTTCCATTTTGATAGTATATTCATACCAAATATTGTTATTAGAAATTTTGAAATTTCAACGAAAATAAAGGCAAACCAGCAATGATATTGGCAGCCATCAAGCCAAAGGTGATCATTAACTGGAAAGCAGTAAGTAGAATGCCACGAATGTGCAAAGGGGATGCTTCACCAACATAAATTGGCACTGTCATTGATGCAAATCCTAAAAAGTAATATAATTCACTAATTATTACATAAATATAAAATAATTTTGCAATCTTAAATTCAGAATAATTCACCAATAGCAAGACCGAGTTGAAATCTCCCCATAAGTAATGTTATTTTTTCAGGGGATAACGCACAAATAACTGCACCAAACACAAACACAATACTGGAGAACAAGATGACTTTCTTTCTCCCGAAATGGTCAGATGCTGGACCAGCGAATAGAGAACCGATCACAGCTGTGCCTGAAACAATCTTTGCCAATTTTTTAGGATCGCAAGTATTAAAGGTTCTCATAATCCATGCCATCAAGATTGTAATGATATTTGGTGCCAGATGGTAAGAAGTGTCGACTTCTTTCAAAAAAGCTTAGGTTCAACCTAACGATTAACCTTTCTAACTTCTCAACATATTTTCTATTAATAGGTTTAAGCTCAATGCAATCAATTATATTTTGATGAATGAACACTCAATGATATTACAATCGTAATTTAAAATGAGAGTAACTGGAAACCGAGGACCTGGTGTTATGCTGACGATTAGTTCCTTCCAAAGCGTGCTCATAGGCCTCATACCAGCATTATGTTCCACATAAAGCATCGTACTTGAAACAATACCGGTATCATAACCGAATAAAAAGCCACCAATTACAGCCATAGATACTAGTAAATAAACGAAGACACCAAGTTTTGGCTGCGTGCTTGGTTTACGATTAGTAGAACTTGGGACTGTGCTCATTTCTTTATCTGCAAAATTAGCTGATTGACGGATCGTGCAGATAAGTTAGTCCTGCAAATTAATATGCAAGACGAAAACGTCTACAATCCGGTCAAGCCACAGTATTTACCAGTAACCGTCGCATGAATTGCCATGACAGTCTCTAAAAATGTTGGATACGGCTTTTTTCTGATCTAACATCTAAGCAGAATAATATCATATTATAGGATGTAATCTGTTAACTTTCATCACTATTCTGAACATAGAACCAGTTCTTTTGAAGTGAACTTTATTTTGGACTTTCAATTGTTGTAATATTACAGCTATGTTGCTGAAATTGGTAGTATTGCAGAATGGCGCTATTTTTCTGATTGAATATGCTGATTACTTCACAAATTTGTGCGAACTAAGTAATTCCTAACGTCATGTTTACTGACCCACGAACTTTTAGAAATTTCAGAACATTCCACCATATATAAATTAGACCATATATAATTTGGTTTCATGTAAAGAAATATATTATCCAAAGTATTTCATTAGATATTGCTGTGGTGTACTTTCAAAACTTGCGTTATTACACTCGTCCGAAATTGAACTTAGAGTGACTGCTTAAGGTTTCATTTATTTCATGTTCGCCTTTTAGAAATTTCAGAACATTCCACCATATATAAATTAGACGGTTACATTGAAGAAAACAGAAAAACAGATTAAAAGTAAGAATTGCTTTTATCGTTCTCTTCAAAGAAACCTTTTGTTTTACCTTTGTAAATTATTGGGAAATAATTGTCTTGCCATCGGATACTATATCAACAGCAGCAAAAGTCAAATTTCACCATCTAAAGCTCCAGGTAAGCGGAGGAAACTGGTAAGTAATTTTGTACACGGCTGCAAAAATTTCCACAATTCCTACATTTCATTTAAAATATTTTTTATTGAGTTCCTTGTACTTTTCGGCTTTTTCGGAAAAGGAAGAAAATGTCAAATTTCATTTGAGGTTTTGTAATATTGTGACAATGTTGATCAAATGAATCACGACTTCGGGCCTTCTTATGACTGTATCTTAAAACCTGTAATCGTCCAGTAATACATTCTCTTCATAGCTTGATTTTCATGAAAACTATTAATAGGATGAGGAATGGTCTCATTTTCTGAAGAAACATGAAATCTCACCCGGTTCATTTTCAGTAGTTTGTGTGATATCTTCACAACGTCATAGAAGTAATGAGGAAGTGAATTATTGCTTAATATGAAAACCGTACAGGTTATGTAAGTTTGCCTGAATATCTCTTAATCAATCGATAGTTTCGATCATGTGTTTTAATGCGGCAATTAAAGTATACAAGCAAACAAGCAAAAAAGTCGAAGTAGTGTTTAAGATTTTATTAATATAGTTCAGAGACCGACAGAACCAAGCAGCACAGAGAGGAGACAAAGTCTTCTTGATAAATTGGAAATGCACGTCACCATGCTATTATTTGCCATTAGGGAATTATTTCAACAAGGAGATTAATTATAACCCAAATCTAATTAGTAACCAAGTTAATCCCAAATTATGTTGAGAAGGCGCAAAATATAAGATTCACTTCAAACTTGGTTGAAATGGTACTTATGATTAGTAATAAAAGAAAAAATGGGAGAAGTGCGCGACATACAATTTAGAAACAAATTTTACTTGTACCAGTTTTGGGAATATTTGAATATTTACAGATTCTGAAGTAACTGTTTGGACTTTTTCAATAAAAATATCGCAGCAAATCTTTGCAAAATATTTAACTTTTGCTGAAAAATAAGTAGAAGCAAATTTGATAGGAACGAAACAGCTTTATGTGGGACAGAAATCTTCTACGAATCAACTTGACAATGTTTCCTTCACATTCCATTTCGGATAAAACAAAATAAAAAAATACCGTAATTCCGACAGTTAATAACATAAATTGAAACTTGGACCATCCTAGCTGACAATATCAGCATTGGAGGGGAAAAAGATACTGTAACGTATTTCACAACCGTAATAGGGAAGGTATGGAGTGTGCTTTTTCTAAATTGGTTATCTCGATTGAAATGAATGCAAAAGTCAGGAAGAGTTCGGAATTTATTACAAATCTGATATCTTCCTTGGCTGCCCACGCTAGAGAAATATGAACAAATGCAATGTTTCTGATCCTATTTATCATAAAATAAACCAAGATTGGACCGCCCCTTTTTACTAATTATGGCAATGGAATAATAGCACGGTGATGTAAGACATGATATCAGGACAGAAAATCTATTTGCATTCCCTGAATTCATATGAAACGAGTTATTTTCTCGATGCCCTTTAATTGAACGGAGTGTAACAGAACACCAAACAGCTCATTCTACTGATTATCATTGAATATAAATAAGAAATCTGCTCAGTTTTTTATCAACATCAGTAATTTATGAGCAACGTTCGAAGAAAATATCAATCACAATGAATATCAAAATATTTTTTAAAGTAGTAAAAAACTTCATTCCATGGTAACTTTACACAAAAGCAGGAACCAACGCGTGTCATATGACTAAAATGTTTGAATTTTGGCGTGCACTCGAAAATTTCCTCACTCCCAAACACGGAAATCGATTTTGATTTTCTAAATAAGTGCAAATGATTACAGTAGAAAAATGAAGGGGAGGAAATGAACTTGCTCTTTAGTCTTTCAATTGGGGAGAAAATCGTTACTGTTCCAAAATCTCTCGTTGAACACCATTTGATCTTTAATCAAACTGAGATTGGAACCCTAATCTGACCGTATCAGTGATATGTTTTACCATAGTAATAACGGGGCAGCCAGATGACCACAACTGACAATAATTAGTCTAATCATTTAACGCCCATACTGTAAATACTAAATAACTTATTATACGAGTAAGTGTTAATTGCTTAGACACAATTCATTATTCTCATACCTGCCAGGTATCACTCTTATAATGCGTTAAATGACTACAGTATACATGTTAAGATGAAAAATAATTTTATTTGTTGTTTGAAATGCTTTCCGCCAATCAGTTCCATTTGTTCACTATTTTATTTTTATTAGTTATATTAGTTGCTCTTTAAATACCACTCATGGGAGTTATGGTTTACATTCACTATGTACTCTTATATTTACAGCGCATTATACTTATTGTAAATTTAGTTTCGTATTTAAAGAAAATGGTTTTTACTTATTGTAAATTTTGATACTTATTATGACCTTTCTGTATTTATAACAACCAAAAGTATGTAAAAATAAATTTGAAAATATTTGAAGGAAAGACAATCTTTCGGAATTTAGCAGTAGCAAAAAATAACAGAGATGGATCTTAAAGTATTTATGAAAATAAGGCTAGGAAAAATGGAAAAGTGGCAGAAGTATTACACATAAGTTTTAGTATGATTTGTATCAGATTGATTGAAATTGAATTAAGAGCAATGTTTTCGGAAGAGATTATATTTAGGTAAAAGTCGAGATAAACAACAAAGAAAGATTAGATATTATCATATCAACTTTTCCTTAATAAATATGCTCGAATTTAAATGTTAAACAAAAACTCCATGTGTTTGGTTTATGGCATATTTTTTCAAGGATTTTTTGCTATTTCAATATTCTCCATCCTACCAAGTTATACTATACAAAACAACTACCAAACTTAATTAGTTTCCAAGGATGGATCTTCTTGCATTCAATTTTCTGCTGGCTTATCTGCGGTTGGCGTATTTTTTGATTATCACTTATCACTAATATTGTAGTAAAAGCATGCTTCGCAATCCCCAACCCTAAAATTTTTACTTTTTTTTCTTTTTCTTGTAGTTCATCTATTTCATTCTCTTTTCTTCAAATATGTATATTTATTTTTTTGTTTGCTCCAATTTTTTTCAATTCGATTCCGCTTTGAAATGGTGTTTGCTTTTAGTTCGTTTCCAAGCGATATTGAAATCAAAAATATGTGACACTAGCTGAAACTTCATGCTTCAAACCGTATTCATCAATATTCAAAATAAATTAACAGAAGGGAATTTCCAGTAAGTAGAAGGCTTTTGAAAAAGAGAAGAGTAACTGTGTTACCTTGTCTAATTACTGGAATTTTTGGAATTCGACACTTCCGAAAAATGAATTTAATAGCTTATTTTAAGTTTAAAAGTCTGAAATACATACTTGGATCTATATAAGATTTCTTGAAACCTACTATTTAATTTCTAATGGACGGCAATAAATTTGAGATTCTTAGTAACATTCTGTAAATCAGAAAAAATTATTTTCTAATTAGTCGGTAAGAAAGGAATATGGAGAGTATTTCTGTACGTCAAAAATCAATTGCTGTTTTAAGTACCATCAAGCTATGCCACAAAATGACCACCGAATTTTTTGTTCCTCACCTGATTTTTTTAATCGCGCAGAATCATGAACTACATCTAGCCACAGATAATGTTCTATTTTTCAGTTATTTCATTGTTCTTTTCATTATAAAATCTTACTTGTAGGAGAGCATTCAAAATGAGACAATCAGTTTATATGATTAGTTTAATGGGTTGACTTGATTTTTTGAGACTAGCAAATTTATATTGGTAGGATCCTACATTTACACATTTACTACTGATGGAACCACAAGTGCTGTTTCAATCATCAAATATAAATCAGCTGTGACTTCTGGCAATGATATAAGTAAAAGTCAAGCGTTTTTTATTTTGGAGCAAGAGATGCAAGATTTGAGCCATCAAATTGCTCTCGTAAAGCAATTAAGCTATTTTGGCAATTAAGCCATCGATAGCTTGCTTCGACACAGAATTATATTGTTCGCCCTGTATAATTTGAACAAATTTCTTTGAAACATTTCATTCCAGTTTGTCTTTGAAATTCTCAATTGATTTTATTCTAGAGTGAAGACCGATGACATCAGTATTTATTTGTTCTTTACAACTATCAATTGTGGCAATGCCAAACAGCAAAAATAGAACTGGAAAGTCTTTTCATAATACCCTTTCAATTTTACTTTTCTATTTCCCATTTCTTCTCTTTTGATACGATATGATTTATTTTCCAAAATAACAATAAACAAAAAGTATCACATGTTCAGGTTATATCAATTGTTATAGCATAAATTATGATCTTGGCAGGACAATGATTTTTGATTTAACAAATTATGGTTTTTTTTTTTTTTAACTGAATGATCATGGAAGTACTGAACTGAAGAACAAGTAGTTAAATCAAAAAAATGACGAACTTGGCAGTCGAAATGGATGTTGTCTAAAAATAAGAAATGCTAAATGGACCCATTTGATTTAATATACATAATGCCCCCTATACTGGAGTTTTTGTCTTGATTTTCAGATTTTAAAAACGAAGAAAGGATGCATTGGCTTTTTTGTACTTTTAATCACTGCCAGAAATTCATATGAAAAGGCCTTATCTTATTGTATGTGGAGATTGTATCCTACTGAACAAGGTAATACGGTAGAAATGAGGACTGACCAAAGAGAAAGGCGGTATAGGATGGAAGAAGCGTAACCAATGGTAACTAAAAGAAATAGACAAGAGAATTGATTACAAGTTTAATCTAGGAGAAGCAGAAACATAAAAGATTGTGGATTCCAACCAAAGCAAATGGTGGGAATTTCTCTATTCGTCAATTTGGAATTCCACATTTTTAATTCAGTATAAAAGAAAAAAACTTCACGAAATAAAGTTTAAGGAAGTCACGGTAGTCTGTAAACGGCAACAGTTGATATTACAGAAAATTAATAATGACTTGGACAATAACCAGTAATTGGATCAGATGAAGATATGAAGTTAATATCAACAATCTTTTAGCAGATGTATTATCATATTCAATGTTTAGCGGTATCATCATTTTGGTAAGCCTTATGTTGAACAGTGACGATTTTGACGACCGATCATTTAATATGGAATATTTACAAATAAAAACAAAGAAGTACTTTTTAGTGTCTTTATTTTTCGATTGGCAGTAGCAGTCTAAATACCAGAGGGTTTTCCGAAAATCCAAAAAAGTGGGAATTCTGAAACGCTGTAAATCTTCACAAAAATAAACGTCTGGAACGGCTGCACAAGAAATATCGAACTCCAATGTATATGTTGAAGGCTGGAAATAATTGGCATATTCAACGCTCAAACTTGTCTCGTGCAAAATCATAAAGCAATAAAATCAAGGTTTGAAAACCTTCCGCGCTCACCGGCCGAAAGTATTCGTATATTTCCTTCGTCAAAGGATCAATTTTAAAAAAGTATGCCGATTTTTTTTTATGCTCAAAAAGTACTCGCTTATCCTTGGCTCATTCTTGCTTAATTCTGCCTGACAAGAATACCGACACTTCAAGTTCCAGCACTTCAATAAATTGAGAATTTAATTTAAGAAAATACTAACTCTAGATAAATTCATCGCATATATCACACCGAATCACAGTTTCTCTAAAACTATTGAAAGTTTTCTTTCTTGAGAATTGCAGATTTGCACTTTAACTAAAATTTAGGATTAGTTAACAACAGTACAAATAAGCTCGTCATTTGATTATCCAATAAAATAAGTAAAAGAATGGTTCCTTTCTTAAAAAAAGCACGATGTTCTGCAATCTTTTTCATGAGAATGAAAAATGTAAGGAAGTTCGCGACATTCAAATTCCCTTTAGACTTGACTCAAGTTACCCCTATTATGAGGAATTCCGAGAAGGATTTGACAACGATAATGTGACAAATCGCACTTCGGAAGACAAAAATGCACTGCTGAAGCCACAGTTTGTGTAGAAAACACCGTTCTTTGTCACTTGGTGCTATGTTGTAAGGACGATCGGACCAATTTCTGTGCATCAATTTTTTTAGAGCCATAAAAGCCCTCTAAATTTTCCACCCTTTCCATCATAATTATCATATAAATTTCGTGTGTAAGTGTAAGTAATATATCAAAATTGCAGCATCCCTTTCCTGGACCGGAACTTTTATAAATTTAAACAATGAATTTTCACAAACAGATAATGAGAAAGTGGATTCTATAACGACTAACAAATACAAACAACTCACTGAAAATTATTTAAACCAAGCGTACATACCGAACAATAGCATCTGCTTCTGAACAAATTCAGATAAATTATCCAGTTCCCTACAATCTTGTATGATTTCCTACTGTTCCAGGGAACAATAATAATCATTTATCACAAATTAGCAAACGGATATATAAAAAAAAATATCCTTACTTACAAGCTATAAAACACAACTCAAATGGAATACTTTGCCTTATTCCTTATAAACTAATCTGAAAAATATAAATTTTTCTGCCGCTAAAATTTTTATCAGTTTCTTTTAAAATAGCATGACCGTTTATGTTAAAACGTATTAAGTAACAAAAATAAGATAATGGATAAGTTTGCAGGCAACTCTTTGTACCCGAACGACGAAAAAAAGAAAATAATCGGTGTTTCGTATGTGTCAATAAGAGAAATTATATCCTACGATAACACTGGAAGAAATTATTATAATTGTATCATGGAACTAAATTCCGGAACTAAATTTTTCTCGAACTAATTCCCGAATGATGACGGAATACGTAAATGCTTGACAACAAATGTAATTCGGAAACAATGAGTAATCACTATCTAGTTCCTCTGTCATCTGAAGCCCCTTCAAGTTTTGCTTTAATAAAGGTGAATTGCTGCTTCAACGAAGTGTTAGAATCGAAATCATCCTGTGAAAATAACACGGGAATAAACCCCTTGGCTTTTAGCAAACGCATATTCAGCAACGGCGGTCCCATTAAAGTGCTCTTCTCGTCATTATCATACTGCAATTAATTAGGAAATAGAACCTTCATGGAAAATGATTTACAATAAAATGTACTGGAAGTGGTAATGGCAGATAAAAAAAACAAACGTTAAGTGTAGCTTAGCAGCAGTGAAAGAGTATTTAAATGTCAAGAAAAAACACTGGTATGTAAAGAAAGTACAATTTTTTAATAAATATCAACAAAAAAAGATACTCACTGGTAATGTCCGATCTTTCCAAGAGAGATAAATCACAGCCAAACGAGGTACCTTCGTTTCCTCAAAGTGGCTCAGTGGAACAAAACGATTCCCTCTAGCATCAAGCTTAATGACTGCATTAACAAAAATCCCATCCCCATTAAGAACAGGCGAAAATGAATATGAATTCACCGGAACCAGTTTATGCAGCAATGAATGAAAATATCGGACATTTTCTTCCTCACTCTTCCCGTAACGCAGTTTCAAAGCCATATCATTCTGAAAGCGAAAACGATTTTCGGCTATTTGCAGTAATAAATATATAAGTGGAATTTTTCAAAAATCTCACCAACAAATATCTGGATATAATAAATCTTTTCATAATTTTCAAACAACTTTTCTTGGAAATTCTCTTACATATTATATGTGAGGCTTCCAAGATGTAGAAAAGACTTGGATCTAACAGGAAATTTTTCAGTACAAACCAAAGTTGCTGGCGGGAGCTGCATAAGATCCAAAATATCAACTGAAGGTCCTTGATAAGTTTTATTTAATATTGCTTTCAAAAATTGTTGCACTTGAGCGATAGTTGTTACAGCCATTAGTTTTCGAAAACCATTCAACCTAAAAATGCACACAGTCAAAAATAAAAAGAAAATGTCGATTTGCATTGGATTCCAAGAAAGTATTGTGAAAACAAAGAATTTTACAATAAAGAATGAAAATTTCTCGAACCCTCCTAATACATTTGCGACGAATGACGGTTGTAATACAGTTTCTGCCAGTTCTGGTGATAATTTGTCGCAAGTTGCTAAAGCATAGATTGTACTAAGCCACGTCTTGGGTGAGTCAATATTTGAAGAAGTCAACTTTTCACATAGATATGCACTTGCTTCTTGAATTAAATCACCTTTGCCAGCAACTGCACACCAATGCACAGCGTATGATAATTCGGCAGGAGCAGCATTCCTAATAAAACAGTAATCACAATGAAAAGTATTAGCATCCTTAATGAAAATAATTTCCCTTCAAATGATGTAGACAGGAATTAGAAGAACCGAATACAAAAAGAATACGTTCATAAGATTGATAAAGATGTCACATTTGACAGAGACGATAACAATAATAACAGTAACAGTGAAAACGAAAATAAAAAAAAAGTATTAGTACCTTTCCTAATAAAATAAGAAATAATGATGACAATGATGATAAAGCCAGCAATAATGTTAATAATAACAATAAAAACTAGCAATGATGATAACAGTAAATAATAACAATAAATACTGACAATTTTAAATTCCTACGTGAGAACTTTAAAACTAACATTTGATTATTATTGATCCACGCAGCAATAGCATTCCATGTTCGAAAGTCGCCAATATGTAACTTCGTCATCGAATTAACAATCGTATTAATTTGCGACCACTTAGTAAAACGACTAATATTGGCAAAAGTTTCGTCAGCTATAATCCGCCGAAGTCTATTATCCATGAATCGTAATTTTGCAGCTGATTGTGCTAACAACATCAACTGGTTAACCTGAAAAAGATGACTGTTCCGTCAAATCTTGTAACCAACAACTGTTATGTCGAGAAAACTTTCGATGAACCATTACCAGGTTCCGACGAAAAAGTCGGAGCCAGACAGCTGTATTAACTCGCAAAACATAAATAATATTTAAATGAAATACTAACTGATAAGTCCTTCTTATTCTGCTCAAAAGTACTGCAGATAAGACGCAAAACATGGGGCGGTCGGCTTGAACTTTTTGCCAAATTTGACATCATGTCGATGAGCTCACTTGAAGACATTGAAGATATACAGCTTTTTGCTTTTTCAACAAATATGTTGAACCAACTGTCGCTTTTATTCCAACATACAATCACGGAAACTATGTCTTTTGGCTCTGTGATTTCACTTAAATGTTTTCTGTTGTAAACAGTTCACGAAAGCAATCGATATATCGACGAAATTAACTGGTTATATACTGAACTTTTACGTTTCAAGTACCTAATATCATAACTACTAAAGCTCCTACGTTTGCTCTATGACGAATAACGGAAACATCATGAAGTGAAATTAGAACTACTGAAAATATTGATAAATGAGTGAAAAAGATTCAATCTAACAATCTATCAGTACTACTGGAGAGCACTGTCAAGCATTGCCTCGAGAACCCATTTTTTAATAACGAAGAAACAACTTCAAATGAATAAAAATAACAAAATGAGACAAACCTTGCCTTTAACTGCAACCACTCCTTCATCTGACGGAACAGATCGTCGGGCAGGCGGATCTTTTTGCTATTCACTAAAGCAGCTAAACGGACCAATGGTGAGACAGGGACAGAGAACAGATCGGTGGAAAATTGTTGTCTTAATATGTCGATCAGTGTTTCAAAGATGGATTCTTGAGTAAGCTCGAGAATAACTAATGCACATATGGCTTCAAGCGATGAGTTCATATGCAGCTTTTCACTTTTTAATGATTTGTTCATTTCAGCTAATAAACCTCTGAAAAATATTAGTTGAGAAGTAAAATGAAAGTAGGTAATATGTGAAATAAAGCACCAACCCTCCGTAAAAAACATTTCTTAGGTTAGCAACTTGAGAATTTTATTTCGGAGCTCCAAAAAAAAAAAAAAGAAAGATATTGCACTAAATACGGCTTTTTACAGAATGCAAACCAATGTTCAAAGCCTTGACAGCATTCTGTAATATTATCCCAGTTTTTTTAACAAAATACATAAGTGAAATACAGATAATCAAAGCTCACTAAACTAACTTCAAATATTTTCAATGCAAACATATTTTTTTTAAACTGACTAGTCAACTTACTTCTTCAAATAAATTGCTGCTTTTTGGATATCGACACTTTCATTAGCAAGCTCAGCAAAACGTGTTAAAACTCTTACAGAAATTTCACCACTGATTGGACCTTTCAACTTTGAGCAAACCTTAAACTCCACTTTAAGTGTTAAGTAGAAGGAATTAAACCCATCACAAATTACTGGTTTAGTATGAGAATCACTGAAATGTAACTAAGAGACAGAAAGCTTAACCACTTTTACCATAGGTTTGAACCTCAATATACTGAATGCACAGGTTACTGACAAGTAAGCGAGGCACTCGGCACTATTAAAGTATCACTACTACTACTGCAGCCACCACTAAAAAAATGAACTCGTCCGGTACAGTGCATCTTATACTTGTTATCTGCACGCATAACTGAAATAATTTAAAGTTAAAAGACCTTTGTAAAAGACACAGATTAACAAATAATTCGAGAAGAAACCGCAAAATTACCTTCTTGAGACCTTCAACAGTAGCAACTGTATTGATTTCAGCCCCTTCAACACTAATTTCCTGAGTGAGACTTGTAATTAACAAATCCAAGCCACATGTACTCGCATTAGGAGCTACTTCAGCTGAGTAGAAACGCTTCTTCATTATATTTGTCAATTTAATTTTTTGCTGCTGTGCTCCCAAAAACTGCAAATTTGACGCACGTCGAAGAAATGATAATGAAAATCGAGATACAGCCATCTTAACTCGTCTTATTTGTTGCTTCTTTCACCTTGTTTCCATTACAGCTGATTCAAGATTCTCTTTCGATCCTGAAGCAATAGATTAACGATAATAACACTTTTCCTTCTGATAAATCCAATCCTAAAGTTTTTCATCATACGGTGAAAAATGCACATCCAAATAGTTTCTGCAGTGTAAGTTCCCTCCGTCCTTTTCCGTCTAATATCCCGACCAACAGAAATGATTCATCTTGAGTTTTCTAGAAAAATTTAAATTCAGCCGAAATTTTTACACCTTCTATCCTTATCATTTTCCTAGTGCAGCCTTTCCATCACTGAAGAAAATTTCAATAATAGCTCAAAATGAATATATAAGGCGCTACCTTATCAAATGACAAACGTTGTCTCATCATTCCCTAAACCTTATTTTTGGTTTCGAATCCGAGCAATTAGATTCGTAAACCCCACTCTGGGAAGCCTCATAAGTCAACGGGATGCAGCAAGAATGCGACAACAGTCTCTCCTCCATCCTTCTTTTATTTCTACTTCTTGTTACCTCTTATCCCCTTGTTTTTAGATCCAGTTGTTTCTCTTCCGTTTATTACCAGAACTCTACTACTCGAGTTTCAAAACCATATTTAAAAATATCTGATGCATGACTACTTTTTCGCTAAGAGCAACCGAATTATTCTCAAGTAATATGAGGATCTAGAAGTTCCAGTCCAGCATTTCGAAAATCTCAGCCGAAATTCCGGAAATTCCAGTTGATGGATCGGAGTCTTCCTTTGCTTTCTAGTAAATAATCCAATTATTAATACAATTACATGCCGCTGTATTCTTTTAGAATATTTTTTTAATCATAACAGCAATGTCTTTCGTAATTCTTACTTGTTCCTCATGCTTTTTCAATCATCGGCTCAGCAATCCCACATAAACCTCCTCCCCTACTATGTACCCCTTGTGCTGTCAAATCCCTTATAAATCACACCCATACGCCCCCAAAACCCCGACAACACTGCGACAATAGCCACATCTATACATCTAGATGTGTTGCATTCCTGTTGCATGCCGCTGGGAATGAAAGGACCCGTTTGCATGAGACGTGGACTGCGATTCTTGGTCGAAAATAGCCCAGGAGTGAGGTGGTTTGACTGGGTAGGAGCTGGAAACACTGGCTTCAGCAATTCTTCTTGCAGAATCACGACACTCTGTGTGGGAAAAAATCTTGATGAACTACTGTAGATGACATTCTCGATTAACTTGCACAGCTCCTTTATGTGCTCAAAGGTACCTTCATCAGAGAATATGAGAATAAAGCATGCTCCCTTTCTCTGCCTCCTCCCCCACGCAATGCAAAAAAGACACTAGCAACAGAAACCTTGGACCATAAAAAACCCTCATCGCTATCTTTGAATTTTTTTGCTTCTAAATAGTATCACAAGGGGGTATTACCCTCAGCTAACTACACAATTCAAATTTAAGTGCTTGTGAATTCCGATGGCCATCGACTGAAACTTAAACGCAGGTTAGCGAGTTTTGAAGAAGTGAACACGTCACGATTTTGCAACATATTTAATCAGTAATCCTAAACTATGTTTAAACAGTAAACAGTAAGTGCTTACATATTTTGGCTCTTTCATCACTCATACAATTGTTCAACCTTATCAGTGCAAATGGCCTGCCAAGAACATGATGTCGAGGGTTTCCAGCTTCAATGTTAATCAAATCTGTTTTAAAGCATTACCACTGATTAATTATAAATAATCTAAAGGGATTTCAGGCGGATGCCACAGTTAGAAGCCTGTCATACTGAACAAATGGTCAGTTTTGATAGTTTACTATTCAAATAAAATTTTGTTGATGTATATTGGAAGAACTCACAAAAGATAGGGAAATAACCACTCAACAAATTCTTTGGCAAATAAATAACAAAAGTTTATTAAAGAACAAATCAAAATCCGAGTTAGCAATAACACATCAGGTATTTCTGTAACCCCTCTAGACAATCGCGTTTTGAACTGATGAGTAGTTATCACTTCGTTGGCACAACTTCGCTTTACAAACGTCTCCACAAATCTCCCAGCCCTCATTATTTCCTATTGTCATAGCATCAGCTCGTACCCCACGTAAAGTAAACATCGGATACCCAACACTTGTTGCCCATTTTTTATATCCAGACCTTGGATGCAATATATGATCAAAGTTTTGAAGTCGATAAAATTTGCGGTGAGTAAATCTGCTTCCTTCCCCCTGGAGCTTGCTCAACAAAACGAGATTCCTGGAAATATCATAAAACGCGTTATAAGCAGTATTGCGACCATCATTCTGAACGATTCCATGCATTTTAAAGTAGTCATCTGCAGTAATTTACAAAAAAGAAAAAACATTTATAGTTTTACTTTACCTAAGAATAAAGCACATTAGTTAAACAACCAAACAATTTTTCCAGGTAAGACTGTGGACGTTACAGATTGGGCAACATCCATAAATGGGGAAAATTTCGACAATATAAACTATTATCAAACATTTTGTTGGCCGCATTGATTCAATTGCACACTTGGCAATTACTTTTCCTTTCAGAATGAAGTTTTTAGCGTAAAGCGAGAAGAATGGAAGGTAGAGAGAAAAGGCATAGAAAAAATTTTAAAAACCACATAAATTTTTTTACTAAAATTTGGACTTCTTCCCAATAATACGCATCCATTATCGTAGTACTTCTGTAGTGAAAATAGACAGTTTTAATTACATCAATCACCAATATTAAGTGATCGTCGTAAAATTACAAACTGATTAAACCAAACTTTGTAAAACGTCTGCAATTTGAACATGCATACAGCTGCATACCTCTGAGTGCGTGATCCCTGTATTCCGACTGTGCGACCCTTTTTAGAGAGAATACTGCCAGTGAGACTGTTAAATGGTGCAGTGGCACATTTCGCCAAATTAGAATTTGATGATGAACACGACGAAATCAACTCTCGGTTCACAGAATCAATTTTTCCTTCTACTGATAAGTCTAATGGCTTATTCCAAATTTGCGAGGACTGCAAACTTCATTTTTTTGAAAAGCTTCCTGTCAATGTGTCAAATATGCGTCATCTAAACACCTTATGAATATGTCAAGTGTATTAAGTTGACGATGCTGAAACACAGCGAGAAGTGATTCAGAAAATTCGAGTAATATTTTGAGTAATTCACAGTCCGAATCTAGTTACAAATATGTTACACTGCTGGATAAGGCATAAACCTAATTTGCCAAATGTTCGTCAACTTCATCCATACTTATATGTCTTGCCTTCCGCCGTTATTGGTTATCCCTGTTTCATGATATATTCAGAATTACTTTAAAAAATATATACCAGCAAACTGTCATCTTCAAGAGTGCTTTCATTATTCGTGAACGTATCAATACTTTTGGCATACATTCTCGTTTCCACGATCTTAAAAAACTAATTTTCAAACTAGTGAAAAGTTTTAATACTATTCTTCCTGTTCGGCAATAATTTGAAAGAAAATGTCGCCAGAGTTTCTCAAAGTTGGAAAAGACCTAGCAAAAAATTCATAAATTTGGTACCTGCACCGCCTCCTGCTCTCTCGAAAAGTTTTGTCCACCTTCTGCAAAGCTCCTTACTAAAAAAACGCCATATATATTCGCATAAAGATAATTCAATGACTTATCAGATTTCAGACGATATCTTTTCATATTACTTTCTCTACAGAAATCAAGAATAGGAGAATATTTTCAATTAATACGGCACTAACGCTACAATAAATAACACGATAGCAGTGCTTTCAATATCTGAACGGGTTTTTCCTCGGGTATGATTTACAACACCACTCAGTTATAATTGTTAAAAAACAAAAATTCACATTTAAAAAAAGCGAATACCAACCTTTAGGCAAATGAAAACAAAATATTAACAAGAGCTACTACTGTTTTTCCGCTCTTAATCACAAATATGAAAACACAGGCAATTGCTACCAATTTACAGATTCCCTTTATACGATTTGCTATCAGCCAGTAATACGAATTAACCTTTGACAGAGAGCACTTTAAATCCCCACTGCAGTGCTTGCTTTTCAAATTCTCGATGTTTACTAAGTGTACGTACCAGTTCCCCTTTTAAACATTTCAGTGCATTTTTAAGGTGTGTTATTTCTCTGAAAATTTTAACAAACAAAATATCTATACTATATGTAAGAAAGATGATATCTAGAAACATAACTTCTCACTAATTTTTCTCACAATGAAATTTTATTCAACAGTGCAAATTGCAGGTGTGGACAAATGCTGCAATAAATGTAGTGAAGTATTTAGCACGTGGGAGCAAACATTGTTAAATAATCTTTGACCACATATTAGCGAAATGTCAGGAAAAATGGGAACTTGAAACTTACATTTCGAGCTGATTTTTCGCCTTTGAATCGTCTTTCGCCACTTGAAGCTGATACCAAAGCTGCACAACCTAGCAGACAAATACTCTGTACAAAATTACATTTGGATGTGATAGTGAAATATGTCATTTCTATCATGACATAAGTGCATTGGAAGACCTCAAATTCCATTTACAAAAGAAAGAAAGAGGTTTAGCAATATTAATTTTAATTAGAGAACTGATTATTGAGTTACGTTTTGCGAAATTCAAAAAAAATCAACTGTAAGCCAAAATGCTTTTTCAAAGTAAGCCCAAGACCGTGAATTTTGCGTAAGGTTGATTTCATATAATACCTAATCGAAACTGGATGTAAAACCTTTTCATATACAGGAGCTGTTGCTCAAAAACAGTACGATGCACACGTACGCAATGAAGGATGTAGTGTTTAAGTGGAGTTTTGCCTTCGCTTAATTCTTTATACAAATGCAAGCAGAATACATACCACAACAATGATATGAAGGCTATTAGGATTTTAAAAAACTCACCTTTCTAACCAAGCAGCGTTCCATCAAAATCTTCTGAGAATGTTGGAATATAATTGCCTCTTTAATACGTTTTTCTGCTCTTTCGATCAACGCTTGCGGAGACTTCAGTATTTTGAAAGTATTTTAAAGTTAAAAAGAACCGGAGCATATGATTGTTAATGAATCTAAAAGAAAGCTTAGCATGAAATATACTGTGACAGCACCTACTACATAAACGAGGCAACTGAGAAGTAAATTGCAATCAGACACTTCAAGTGTCTGAATGTTGAATGTGTAGGTTGATTGTTATATGTATTGTGGCATCTTGTTTCTCGAAACATTTTGCAAAATAAATAAATCTACTTATTTGATTAAAAACAAAAAACACTGAAATATAAATTGACATCGGCGAATGCAATCATAGAAAGAGCAGGAAAACGAGAAGTATGCATGGTACTTACAATTTTGGAAATAGCAAACACCTACCACGAAGAATTTCTGTATATGCGACGGTAGTGTGTCGTCAACTGCATGAGTTACAATTCCAGTACGCTGACAAATTTTGCAAACTTTTGCCGTATCTGCAACTGCTGCTGTTGGGACAGAAAAGAGAGGAAAGACTGGGAGATTACAACAAATAATGAGAAAAACCAACCAGTATCGGTAAAACATTCGCTGCACAGAATGTGCCCACAGTTGGTAAGGCGATAGCTGGAAACGTCGATCCGACCTTCCGGACGTCGTGTGCATATGTTGCAGTGGAACCAAAACTCCATCACTTCTATTCCAACACAGATTCCCCTAGTTACAATGTGTGTGAACCAGAAATCACCGAAAAAGAACTATGCAACATCACGTACCCTTCACCACGCCACGTAACCACCAACAAATTACACCTATGAACAGTAACAGTCAGACGTCTTAGGCTGGCTGCGCAACTGCCATGGCGCGCAGCCAACCACGCAAGCACTGGTAGTTGTGACGACAAGGTGAGAAATAGTGCAGTACGATAGGCAGAAGAAACTAGGGAAGATCACTGAGAATAAGGACGCTGGACAACCAGGTTGTTGGTCATCTTGCTTAGTTACGTTTCCGGTATCCTCTCCTTAGCTGTACCGCACCTCATTCCTGGATACGGGCCAGGAAGTTCATTGTGGTTATTCTGCTCGTGGTTCGAAGGCACCAGGTATGATCGTTCAAAGAAACTTGATATCTCAGGATGAAACCATTCTTCCTGTTTTTTTGATTCAGTTTTATGCACGCTGCTTATCTTCAAATGGAAAGTAAAATGAATGGAAAATTCTGTTCCTACTTGAAATAATCCGAAGTTGATGCATCATTCATTTGTTCTGTACTTTGAGCAAACTTGACGCAGTGACTTCATCAAGAATGATGAGTAAATACAGTCAAGGTAAGGAATGCTCTTCTAAACTTTACCAGACGTTTCAAAATGTAATTCCATAATCTTTCCTTTGCATTCGTAATAATATTAATGCAAGGTGTGTACAACAATATTTCAGAAGGGAAGCACTAACGAAATCACTTTCTTTTTAAAATTTATTTTATTTATTTTAGGATTGGATTAAAGCAGGATGTTTGTTAATAGTAGATGATGGTTCGATATCGCTGACATCCACCAGGTGTTTGGAGAGCTGTATGCACTTTGTACAAATCACTTCCTTTACTCATTGTTTGTCGGTAACACTGACCGTTTTTTGATGCCATCTGAAAATTTCTTCTTTTCATTTATGTTGAAAAAGCGATTTAGAAAAAAATAAATTGCAGTATGAATTGGAACCGCTGAAAATTTAGCCCGAACTTCGATCATCTAACCATGATGCATGTGTAAACAGATAAGTTGTGACATTTCCCCATAGCTTGATCAAATTTCACTGATAAAATATGTTCACCAGTTCGAAATTTCCTGAAGAATTACCGCTCTTAGAGCTTGCCGTGACGGCCGGTGTTGCACAGCCAGTGCGGATTGCATACTGAGAGGAAGAAATGCTTCGCGATGATGATTCACTTTCTTTACGAAACGCTGCAAATCTCAATTTTAGTGTTGTGATCTGAATGCAAGATATTGTACTGTGAACAAAAAATCGATTTGAATGTTTTTCAGATATAAATATTAACAAGTACCATAACTTTTTTTACGAAATATTATAAGAAAAAACGCTAACACAGGTATATAATAGTGACGTAAGAACAATGATCGCAAAGATAATTGAAATTCCGACTAATACTGCAAAATTTTAATTATTTTATACAAACTTGAGATATACAAACAAGTATAATTTCTAGCTTCTAAATCTGATCACAAATCATCTGGTGCTTTCACGTTTTCTAAATTCGAATGCTTGAAACTTCGAAATCATTTTCAACTGTTTCAAAGTTACTTTACCATATAATAATTTCCCACACAACGCTTTTTTTTCGGCAATACGATGACTGGAGCAAGAATGTGGTTCCGTCCGATAAATATTGTCATTGTAGGTGAATCGAAAAGAGCCGTCATTGGCCTGATTAATGTAAAATTTTAAGTGATTACAACTGAAGTAGAATCCTCTTTTTCCAACTTTCGAGACCAAAAGATTTTACTCGAAATCCCAGATTTGCCAATGCAGAATAAAGAACTACAGAATTCTGACAGTTCTCTAAATAACGTGATTCTTACCAGATCGGAAATATTAGCTGCCTTTAACTTAGCATCTTCACTTCTCAATACAAACTGTACCACATTTTCATCATAGATAATAATATCCCTGAGTTCGTCGTCAGCGACATCGAATCTTTTCTTAAGATAGTGACGAAATGCTCTATAATACTCTTACATACTTACGAAATTTGCTTGAAAGAAGAAAATGTGAAAGCGTCCAAGTAATTCTGAGAAATCCCAGTAACAAATACTTGAAAACTCGAAGTCTAAACATTTCTGTTCGATTTTAAATAAAATGAAAATGTGTGATTTAATAACATACTCATTTACATCTTGTTGATGTTTGCCATGAAACAAAGGTCCCGTGAGGGAAAGCCAAGCTGATAAATTTCAACTACTTTGTCAGTGCTATTCAAGAGGCCATTTAGATCAGCACTGATGTCCAAGCAGAATTTCTCACAATCTTTTTTATTGATGAAATTGTTTGAATTGCCGGAACAACCGGCATAGTTGAATGAAATACAAGTTTTATTTGTGTAATCGTAATAGTATCGCTTAAGATTGACTGCACAAGGTCCAGCATCCAACGGCAAACGACAGACATATCCTGGAGAAGTTTATCACTGTCTGCTACGAAAACTTAATTCTTGATTTCTTTTAGTCAACTAATTGATCCACTCTTTTCAATTTAGATTCATTAATCTGATGATTTGAATATATTTTAACCTTTTTGGAGGTTCAGCTTCAATCGAATTCTAGAATTATTTCTTCTGTTCACATTTTACTCTGGGTGAAACTTACGTACATATTAGAGTTTTTTCATCCGTCAAAAATTATAACTGAAGAAATTTAAAAGTCTCGCAGCTTTAACTCAAATGAGTCTGTTAGACAAACGTCAATTAATACGATTTTAGGCATAATGAATGCGACCAACCGCTTTTCTTGGTGTAAAATCTAAATCCTCCGACTTCGTGTTTTGAACATATTCAAGACATTATTTCAAGTAAAAACAAACGTTTAGACACATAGCAAACACCGAATGACTGATCAGGTGCTGAGGAACAATAATGTGTGGAAGGACAGTTATTTCCGAATTGAGTACAATTCACCGGCCATCCATCAACTTTGTTTGAAAACGGATTGCCCTGAGGACAGCTTCCCAGATTGCTCTTAACTTTTGTTTCTAAAAATGAATTACCACTTAATGCTCGAAATACTTAATCTTTAGATATAATTAAAAATTACTTCAATGGAAATTGAAATTGTTCAGTCCTTCCTTGATTAAATTAAATTACCCTAGAATTTTGCAAACTGTTGGAACTCATTGATTAATTTATAAAGTAGTAATACCAAAACATACTAATTCCAGGGTAGCAAGCTCCTTGCATGGCCACATCATAACCGGTTCAGTAGGACACATTTCAGTACGATTTTCGAAACAAGACAAGTGAATATAAGTTATTTCATCCAGTGCTGGTTTACGGGTATCACTGCATGGATTTGTTTCACCTAACAAAATAGTGATGTCAGCATCAAAAATACCAGGTACAACGAGAATATGTCATGAAATACTAATTATTCTTGAAGGAATAACAATTGTCCATTTTGATAAATGATGCTTTGGAATGTCGTATCAAGTCAAATTCGAAACAAGCGAGAGAAAACATGAGTAATGGATTTAATTCAGGTAAGAAAAAGATGAACACATGTCTACTTTAAATACCTAATGAATGCCATTCCCGACACACAGCTAAAAATGAAAACTGACATGATGGTATAGGAATGCAAGTGGATTCGGAGCAATTTTTCTTCTCAACATGCAAACTTTGTTATTGGAGCACTGTATTGCATCGCACAAATTGTGACAACGGCAGTAAAGATCTTTCGGACAATTATTCGCGTCCATTTCAAAACCTGATGGACACAGCGCATCGTTGCAGGTAATTGAGCAGGTTTTTTTATCTAAATCTCAATTTATTTCAACTTTCGAAGTACATTTGAACATTTTCAAAGATTAACAGCGAATATGCAATAACCAAACCAAATATTACTTCAGCAATTTTGGGTTAAGATTTTATGTAAATTAAAAAGTGATAGCAAATATTCTAAACCGAATTCCAAACTAAATTAACAGATAACAAATTTTTTAAATGTCAATGACTACCCGTTATGCAGATATCCAAAAAATGGACCAGATTTAAAAGTGTTCCAAATAACTTTAAATAAAGCAGAAATTGCTATCACTATCAGTGAAAATTAGACTTACTAGAGCAAACACTATATGGAAATGCAAGAGATGAATCGAGCAACTTCATCCTCGAACTCCGTGAACCATGGATTACAGCACCAGTTACGGCGTTCACACACTAACAATAGTCATTGAGATCACCACACTGAACTGTTTCAAACATACCTGCAAAGTAGAATAGCAAAAGTAATTTAATTTTTGGCAAAAAAAATTTCATAAATCCACATCAAATGTATTACTTTTAAAGTCCAGAAGTTTATGTCGCTTACCCGTATGTTTGTTACACCAAGGTATTTGCATATCGACAATAGCGCCCGAATCGATAAGTTTGGTGATGGAAGCGTACAGTAAAATACAATCTTAAAACAACTCAAGACAATCAGTCATATAAAAAAACAACACAAGATAATTTCCTTAATCAAAAGAATAGTACTGCGAATTCCTCCTCTCTAATTCCAATTTAAAGTACGGCCATGGAGACCGAGTTAACATACTCGTTGCAACTTCTGGAATGACACAAATTTTGCTACAACCATAGTCACAGCATAATTGCACTCCAGAACATGCTGAATCATTGGAACATTCCACACTGCAATCTGAACAGTGCAAGTTTTAAAGGCAATTGAAAATCTCTGATGGATAAATGTTGATAAGCTTAAAATCTCTGATGGGTAAATGTTGATAAGCTTATTAGGAAGGAAAAACAAACTTGCTGAAGATAAAGACTTTGAAGGGTTAATTCTAGGACATCCTCCTAATTTTCGCTTCGAAAATATCCCATCTATTTCTTCTGCACCTGAAATCATTACACCATTTAAAAAAATTTTAAACCGCGAAAAAAATAACTAACTGCTAAACTAACTGTCTTCCTCAATTTTAAACAATTTCGAAACAGAAACTGATATAAATTGCAGAATGAAACGTTAAAAAGTACCCTTATCAAAGTGGAATTCTTAACCATAAAAGCTTGTTTGATGCATGTTTTGACAAAACTGAAGAATTTAGTTAACGAATTTAAACAAGTTTCTCGGTTGATTTGAATAAATAACAGCAAATACCTGAAGAACAGTAAATTCCATATTTTCGCTCATTCGGCAATAATTTACAGAACCTCTATTGCAGTCATCATTTTGCACACATGAAAACACATTATTATTTTTGTCCCGCAAAGCTTTCGAATATTTTGGGCAGGGATTCGATTTACCTGAAAACTTTCATATTTTTTCGGAATGATTTGTGTTAAAATATATAGTTCTTTTGTTGAACTGAACAATACTTACGGTTTGCAAGATTGAAGCGAAACATTTATCTTTTATCCGAAAATGCTAAAAAAAAAATAAGCTTACACTGCGGTACAGAAGGGCAGGACGAAATAATACAAATGACCGGCATCAGCACACATACATCTCCTTCTCTGGCGCACTTTATCTCCTTCAATTGAAAAGCTCAGATCTATCTATTTAATAGGGAATTTATAAACTTATAAAGTCCCAATTTGAAGTAGCATTTTTTGTAAAAAGTACCTTTAATAATGAAACACTTCATTGTTTTTAAAAAATGTTCCCAAAGCTCGTTAACCTAATCTTACTTCGCTCGGATTCTTACATTCGCAAAAACCATTCAGTGGACAACCACTGGTATCTAACTGCGGGTCATGTTCACATTTCATTTCATCATATACTGTTGAACAAGCGATTGGTGCTGCAAATCATGTCAGTTATTATATGCATCAAAAACTACCTTAGTATAATTAATGGGTTGGTCAAAGGGAATAGTTTACGACTGTCGCCACAACCTTTCTCAGTACAATTGCGTTAGCACCAGAATTGGAATGAAAACATGAAAAGCGTTTCAAAAAAAAAAAGAAAACTTTGACAATTCGGTTTAGTAATAGCGACCATGACCCTAGTGCCAAACATTTCTTCATCGGTCTTTGTATTGACGCACCGACATTGCCTAGATTAATGCATACTAGTTTTTTTTTCCAAAAACTAGGAAACATAGTGTTATTCATTGGAATGTTCGACAGAATGCTCACGATATGTCTGTTAGAATATTGCTTACATAAGTAACGAATGTCGCAAATCTTACATTCGTAAAATAAACCTATTTTTATCATCATTGAATTTTCAATCACATGAACCTGTTTTGTTGATCGCACTGAATTTCTTTGAATGTCCCATTCTCATAATATTCGATTCGTGATCCGTTTGAAAATATCTTTTTATTCGCATTGTTATAGGAAGTCAATTTATGAATACAAGCTGGAAACATTCCTACTGTGCTGTTCAAATTTCCGTCCATTCAATGTCTATTTCAACTAACAATTTTTTCCATTGGTTTTCATTTAAATTCTTTTCCCTTTATCTTCTATCTTGACTGCAAACCAGGCGAATTAATTTAAAAACGATATCGCTCCCAATTTGAGCTTTAGTCCACTATTACACAGAGGATAAGGCATTCTCAAAATTCGTTCAAGAATTTCGTTGCCGCAATTAATTCGGCAACAAATACATTGTAATATTTAATGACTTTCGAACCTATAAATGCAATTAATACCTGTAGCAATATAAGGAAATGCACATGTATTACTGCAGCCTTTGGTACAACACTTCTGGAAACTTGGACAATCGTTATCATTTAGACAGTCAATCTTACAGCTTTAATCCGAAATAATTTCCATTAAACACTCTCCCAACTTTTTAAATTCTCTGTGAGCCTCTAAAAATAGTCAACTCATAAGCGATGTGAAAGTTGGTAATGGAAAATCTTCAAAGAGAATAAAGAAATGGAGGAAATTTGGAACCAACTGTCTAACATTCTAAACTCACCTATGAAATTATGCATTGGTGAGTTTACTAGCAGTAAATTAAAAAACGATAATAAATAGTCAAATGAAAACTTCGTGACAGAAGTAACTTTCGTTTACTTGTCTGTACGCTAAGATGAATTCCATCAGTACCTCTAGAAAACACTCCTTTCGAAAAGCCCAAAACAGTATTTCGGTCGACTTCTTCTGCTCGTAAATCCGTGCAGGATGTTCCACAACCGTTGAAACAGCATTTGCCGGATAAGCAATCCTTATGTGTACGACATCTTATTTTACATAGTTTGGAATCAGTAGATCGAAGTCCAAACTCTGTTGGACACACGGCTGATGAATCTTCTAGGATTTTATCATGAATTTAGTAGGTTAAAACTCTCAAATTTTAATTCATCTGAAAACAATTGAATTATACCAGAAAGCTGTTTAACGTATGACAGTAACTGCACCGTTTCCAGCGTAACAATATGATGACGAAAATGATAGTGGAATACCAGTTTGTTGACAGAAGTATTCTAGTGGACAATGGTGATCTTCCTTTGTATTGCAAAGTACGAGTTTACGCACATTAGACAACGTTAACGGCTCACCTTTCGGATAAACATTTAATACACCTAAATGATTCGAAATTTAAACGGACAATTTAGTGTTATGAAGAGCACTGTTGAAATAATATAGTGGTTGTGAGGTCAGTGCTAGTTAGGCCACAAACTTCATTCTCTGTTTAATAAAGCTATAGTGTCTCGAGACTGAAAAAAAAAAAAGCAGAAAGCCGTGTGAATTGTACATTATCTTTTTATCTGAGTTTTGTTTCTGCATATTTTACAAGCAAAAGGAAGATATTAGAGAATGAAGTTTGATGGAGGTGACTATTTTTTTTTTTCTCAAGCAGAAGAGCTTTGATAAACAACACCAAAAGTTGTGCACACGGCAGAAACGGGACAAGAAAAAGACAGTGAACACTTATCCGTAGCACTAATCATTTCAAGAAAAGTGTGAAAGATTTAAAAAATAACAAACATTTAGGAATCGGATGGCAGCTTTTTCCAAATAGACATTTGATGTCAATCAGTCTGCAGACGTGTGTCGATGGACATTGAACATTTTTGCAAGGATCACGACAGCAACATTGGTCAAAACCATTGTGATTCTTTTCGTAGCTAAAAATAGCAAATAAGAAAGCGAGACATGGCAATTTGTAGCCTTTATGAGAATAAAGATAACTTTTAAAACAACAAAATGATTTCAATTTCATTTCTTATAAGCATCAGTGTAGTTTGAATTCTGTTTCTCAAAATAAATTTAAAGCAATAAAAAAAAGTCAAATCGGTACCCCAAGGAACAATCCAATTGGCAGTTCAATAACGGACATGATCGAGGCAGATCACAATTAAGATGTGGATGAGAAGTTCTTGTTCCTGAATGAAGCATTTATTATTTGCCTCGTCTTAATGCTTCCTTGCTTTCAGAAAGGAAACTGATTGATCGAAAAAATCGTAGCTTACTATGCAACTCACGACCCAACTCATCGACGCATCAAAATACGGAACCTAACTTTTGGATCCGAGTAAAATCACTAGACTCATCACACTGTGGAACAAATGAACCTGGTTCGAAAGCTTTCGAAGTACCCAATAAATGAATGCACGCTAAACCGGTGAAAAATGTAATTCACTTGTAACTAAAACGATAATTTTGATGATTTCTAAATGATGAATTGAATTGATGTTTTAATTGAATTATAAGTTTAAAAAAAAAAAACCAACACCTGTGGTAATCTCAGGATACATGCACAATTTCTTACATCCATTTGAGCAACACTTCTGTACCGCATCACAATCAATATCCTCCACGCAGTTATCGATTTCGTTTTTCCGGCAATCTGCGGGACTATTAACAGAATGAGGACATAAACCCAGTTTAGATGTTTTTCTCATGTCTAACGATTTTTCTGAAATGAGAAGCATTGGCTGACTTTAAGAGAGTTTGTTTAGTTTACTCGAAACTTGATGTCAAGAGTTTAGGGACATTAACTAATATATCATGCCCTAATTTACTAACCACATACAAATTAAAAACTGCTAGGATTCAAATAGCCTTTCTTGTCATCTTATGGCCTTTCTACGTTATCACGCTAATATAATTGATATTTTGCCGTGATTATACGCAAAAAATTTTCCAGCATTTAAAACTATGCTGGTTGCACAGAATATTGCCAATTTACAATCATATTTATAATAGAATACTAAGAAGAATCATTTCAGTCCTTATAATTAGGCATGGTGTCCATGAATTGAATCCTTTAAACGGATTTTGATTAATTTTGGGAAAACATCAAGTACTTAAAAAAAAAGAAGCTATTAACAGTCATTAACAGTCACTTCGCCAGCGCAAAAAGTAAGTTAAACCTTTCTAACACTAAACTTTCCTCGGATTTAAATCTTTCCAGCAGAAGATTGTTTTAATAACACTTGTAGAAAAAGCCTGCATAGAGCTGAAAATTACCGGATATCCGGCAGCAATAACCGCTTGAACTATGGGAAATGTAACAAATTGATGGGATGTCCGCCGATATGCACTGTCTATTACTGCTACAGGGAAGTGGTTCAAAAGTTTTTCCATCGATAACTGGCAATCCTTGTGGACAGACGTTTATAACACAATTTGGTACAGCACGACGTGGGCACTTAATACATTCCATCAGTTAAGGCAGACATATTTTGCTTTTATTTGGACAAATGATATCCTGAAACTACATTTGTCGCGAATTCCGATTCGCGAGACTCCAACCATACCCCAAACTAACAAATAAATTTCTTGCTATAA